TTACTTATTCTGAGGGTTTATAAAGGTTCGAATTAGTTGAGCAGCAGGATTTTGTGCATGCTAATTAGGAGGCCCGAAGGTATGAATGACAGTTCTATTTCTGTGCCATTTGAGTATTTTTTGTATATTTTCTTTCTCCAATTGTTCACGATGTTGCTATTACATGAAAAGTGTTGTCATGTTTCTTCTTTTACCCTGATTTCAAATGGTTTTCCTTATTGTTTTTACAAAACATGTTAGCCAATTTACTAAAAGTCTATATAAATCTAATGGGTTATGCTATTTTTTAGGTTAGTAATATTTGTTTTGTTGCTTATGTTATTCATCTGTTTTTATTGCAAAAGGTTGATAAATCTATCATGAAGGATGTTCAGCCTTCTTTGGAGTTTGAGGATAGGAAAGCATATAGGAAACGTGTTATTTTAAGATGGAAACAACAAAGACTTGAACAGAAAAAAAAATTACATAAGGAAATCTATTTCAAAGCAAGAAAATCGTAAAAATAAGCATAATTTTGCCGGTCATGCAACAGGTAGAGCTCTATTAAAGTTCATTCCTGTTGTTGCTGATATCTTACCTTACGTTCCTGACTGTCATCATTGTGGTGCTTTAAATTCTATTCAGAAACATCTGGTTTTTGTTGTTTAGATGGCAGTGTTGTCTTGTATAGTAATCACCTTCCAACAGTCATGATTGAACTACTAACTTCAGACTGTCACGAAACAAAGGTTTTTAGAACATATATTAGAACATATAATAACCATTTCGCTTTTACATCCTTAGGTGTTACATCTGATCCTAATTTCAATAAGAGAGACAGCGGGATTTATACTTTTAGAGTTCAAGGTCAGATGTATCATTTTATTAATGGTTTATACTCTGAAAATGACCGACATAAAAATCTGCAGTTATATATTCATGATACTGAACATGAGATCCAAAATAGGTTAATGGTTTGTCCACTGATATGTGAAACTCTGGTTCAGAAGTGTATAAAATATCTTCAACATAATCCGTACGCTTATTTTTTTCGGAATTTGAAGAATATTGGAGACTTAGATACTTATAAGATTGTTCTTAAAACTGTTGTTGTTCAAGACCAAAGAGTCTATAATAAACCTGATGTATCACAGGTTGCTGCAATTTGGGTGGACGGTGAAGATAATGGGGAGTGTGGTCCAAGAGATATCCGAGTTACAACCCATGAATCTGACTCTAGAAATATAAAGTATTTTTATGGTTGTTATGATCCTCTACAATATCCTTTAATGTTTCCTTTTGGAGAACTAGGCTGGCATCAAGGTATTCTAAAAAAAAATAAAACAGCCCAAGTTAGAAAGCAGGGTTTGTGTTCAGCTGCAGAAAAACTTATTGCTCCGAGTAGTATAGCGTGTGCGGATGACTTATTAAAGATGGAAGAAACTGGTAAAATACTTACTCTTTCTATTTATTTATTTTTTGAAAAATGTATTGTGCTTTACTTCTTTTCTCTTTTTTATACAGTGCTTGGAAGAAACGTAGATAACCCCAAGGTTGTATCTGTTAGAGAGTATTACGCTTATAAGCTTCAGATAAGGCATGATGACACAACTTATTTACTCTATTTTGGTAGATTACTACAGCAGTATATAGTTGACAACTATGTTAAATTAGAAACACAAAGACTAGATTTTTTTAGAATACAATAGGAAGAAATAAGACAAGAATTCTTGCAAGGAGTTGTGGATGCAATGGCAAAAGGGGAAACAGAGGGTTCTGCTATTGGTAGAAGAATAGTATTACCTTCGAATTTTATTGGCGGCCCTAGAAACATGAGACAAAAATATGTAGATGCAATGGCCTTGGTACAAAAGTTCGGTAAGCCTGATATTTTTTTAACTATGACGTGCAATCCTAATTGGCCTGAAATAAAAGAAAATCTTAAACCATATGAAGAAGGCCAAAATAGAGCTGATTTGATTGTTAGAGTTTTTCATGCTAAACTAGAACAACTTAAACATGAACTTTTCAAGAATAACATTTTCGGAGAAATTTGTGCTCACACTTACGTTATAGAATTCCAAAAAAGAGGACTTCCACATGCACATTTTTTGCTTATATTAGAAAGCAATTGTAAAATGCATACACCTGAAGACTTTGACAAAATTGTTTCTACAGAAATACCATCAGAAAGTGCAAATCCTCATTTGTTTAGGATGGTTGTGCAACATATGATTCATGGTCCATGTGGCTCTTTAAATCCTTTTAACATATGTATGAAAAAGAAGGGTTCTTGTAAAAATCTTTACCCAAAAGACTTTTCTTCTCAGACTATTCAAACAGACGATGCATATCCTATATATCGTAGACGTAACGATGGGTCCGAAGTGAAAGTCAGAGGTGCTATTCTTAATAATAAATGGGTCGTTCCGTATAATGCCTATTTGCTTTGTAAATTTAACTGTCACATTAATATAGAAATTTGTTCATCAATAAAGGCTGTGAAGTATATATATAAGTATATTTGTAAGGGTTCTGACAAGATAAGCTTTAATATTTCTCCAATTACAAACCCTGTCCTTATAAATGAGATTAACGAGTATCAATCAGGTCAATGGGTTTCTCCTCCTGAAGGTGCATGGAGAATTTTTAAATTTCCTTTGGGTGAAATGAAACCAGCTGTTATTCATTTGCCCTTGCATTTAGAAAACTATCAGCCTTTGACATTCAAACATAAATCAACATTGGTTAATATTCTGAGTAACTCTGGTCAAAGAAAAACTATGTTGACTGAGCTTTTTGTTGAAAATGATATTGGAGTTTTAGCAAAAAAGCTTAAGCTCACATACAATCATTTTCCTGATCATTTTGTTTGGAAGGGGGATAAAAAGATGTGGTCACCCCGGAAAATAGGCGACTCAATTGGTCGTATTGTGATTGCCCATCCAACTGAAGGCGAAAGGTATTATCTTAGAATTCTTTTGTCTAGAGTTCGCTGTCCTAAATCGTTTGCTGATTTAAAAATGATTAACGGGGTAACTGTTGCTACCTTTAGAGAAGCTGCTTTGTTACGTGGTTATTTACTTGACGATGCTACTCAACAAGTATGTATGCAAGAAGCTTCTACTTTTCACATGCCATTGAGTTGAGAAGGCTTTTTTCTTCACTTTTAGTTTTTACCTGTCCAAATAGTCCGCGCAAGTTGTGGTTGTTATTTGAAGATGCAATGATGGAAGACATTTTACGCCACCACAAAGAGACACACAAAGAATCTAATGCCCGTGCATTTAAACAGATTGATTGTTTTCTGCAGTCAATGGGAAGACGTCTTCATCAGTTTGATGTTCTACCCCAAAATTCATTTGATCGGTTGATGGAAGACGACACTAGAGGATTAAAACAGAAAAAAATATTGTTGTTTCCACTGAAGATTTGGCTGCAATATATACTCTTAATAAAGAACAGAAGGTTGCTTTTGAAATGATAATGGATGCAGTTAGCTGCAATAAACCTGGTTGTTTCTTTATCGATGGTCCAGGTGGCACTGGGAAAACATTCTTATATAGAGCTTTATTGGCTAAAATTAGATCTGAAGGTCATGTTGCTTTGGCTACAGCTACATCAGGTATTGCAACATCATTATTGCTTGGTGGCAGAACAGCTCATTCGCGTTTTAAAGTACCTTTGGATGCGGCTGAAGGGTTTGTATGTAAGGTTAGTAAACAAAGCTCTTTAGCAGTGCTGATTAGGATTTGTAAGTTGATTATATGGGATGAGGCTCCAGTGGCAAAGAAATCTGCAATTGAATCCTTGGATAGTCTACTTAGAGATATAATGGACTGTTCAACTACTTTTGGTGGTAAAGTTGTTGTTCTTGGTGGTGATTTCAGACAAACTCTTCCTGTTGTTAGGCTAGGAAGTAAAACACAAACTATTTCTGCTTGTTTAACTAATTCTTATTTATGGCAATCTCTTACCCATTTGCAGCTAACAGAAAACATGCGAGCTCTATTGGATCCTTTTTTTTCAAGTTTCCTTTTGGCACTTGGTAATGGTATAGGAACTCATACAGACGATGCGGTTGTTTCTCTACCATCATCAATGCTCATTCAGGGTTGTAATGATGTTAACGGTTTGGAAGCTCTTATGAAATATGTTTATCCTAACATTTTTGTTACTCCTGCCACTTTCTCTCCCACTTGTAATCGTGTTGTTCTAACAACTAAAAATACTTTTGTAGATGAGATTAATGATACTTTGATATACAAATTGCCCGGAGAAGAGATTGAATATTTTAGTCTTGATGAGACTATTGATCCAAATGATCAGGCCCAGTATGAGGATTTACTTCATTCCTTAACACCAAATGGTATGCCACCTCATAAACTTGTTCTTAAGTATAATGCTCCTATTATTTTGTTGCGGAACATGAACCCCTTTGAAGGTTTATGTAATGGTACTAGACTTTTCTGTAAAGATTTTCAAAGGAATGTTATACGTGCAGAGATAAGCTATGGAGAATTTGCTGGAAAAGAGGTTTTGCTTCATAGAATTCCATTACAGCCACCAACAGGAGAACAATATACAGTTCCATTTAAAAGATTTCAGTTCCCAATTAGATTGTGTTTTGCAATGACCATTAACAAAGCTCAAGGTCAAACACTTGATTATGTTGGCATTTACTTGAAAGAACCTGTTTTTTCTCACGGTCAGTTGTATGTAGCACTTTCGAGAGCAAAAAGTATAAACAGTATTAAAGTTTTTATAACGGGATCTGCATATGGTAGCTCAAATAATATAACAACTAAGAATATCGTCTATAAAGAGATTTTACAACATGCTCATCAGCTGTCGATGTAGGTACTTTTCCTACAACTTCCTGTTATTTTTCTTTTATTCATGTACCCATTTAATATTCTTTTTACCACAGGTAGCTGTTGATCTTTGCAACTACAAGATGCATGGTATTTCATTGCTTTTCAATGAAAAAGGTCAGCTACCTTTTATCAGTTGATTTGAATATAAAATATTTTTTTCTAAACATCTTCGCTGTTCGTACTGACATTTGAGGACATCCTTAATCTTTACTCTATTTCTCAATTCAGTTTTATTAAACATCTTTACATAGTATCTTTTAGGATCTCCCTCGGTTTTATGTTTCACAAACACAATTAACCTTATTGAAATCAATTTGAACATGACAGTCTTTCTTGCTTTGCATGTCAATATGTATGTGTTTACTTTCTTACAGGCTGTAACCTACTCACATGGTATCGAAACCACACCCCTCTGGAACAGTATTCAATCAGGAAGTGACAAAACTTCACCAACAAGATGAAATCTAAACATTAGATTAGGAGATTAGGTAGACTATATCATATATTTAAATATGTAAAGCTTGTAATGTATGCCATTTGGATATAAGTTTTACTAACTAATCTTTCTTACGTTTACTGTACTTGTTAAGTAGAACGAATCAACCTCATTCTGTGCTTACGGTTGAATGTGATACTTGCGTCATGTTTTGGTGAGATGGAAACTTAAACTAGGTTGTTTTTTATGGTGGGCTTAATTTTGGTTTATCATTTCCTGGCCCTTCAACAGTTTCCAACATGAAAGACCCAACAAGCCAATTAAAATTATTGGTAATCGGTTTTTTTTTTTTTAAGTGTCACGTGCTAATTTTGTTATACTACTCATTCTCATAAAAGTTTTTCATTTACTTGACAGGAAACAGATGAAATAATGGCTATAAAGATAAATCAAGAGTACTCAATTTGTTAGTATTGATCTAACTGCATAATTATAACAGATCATTGCAACTTTTACAAAATGGTTTTCTTTTAATTAATCTAATGTTCAATAAATAAGTTACTTATAAATTCTTTACTATAGACTAACTTTTGATATGCACAACTGAATTATCTATTAATATTAAGATTTAGTTTCATTTAAAATAATAACAAATTTTCTTTAATTAGCTATAATCTTTATTACAATAGACTATGACACATTTTCATATATAGTTATAACAACGTACTTTCATTTCCTTACCCATAATACCAATTTACTCTCATTTACTTACCCAAAAATTATACCATTCACCTTTATTTTTTTGTCGTGAAGATAATCTACTTTCACAGTTTAGTTAATCAAATTGTCCTGCCTAAATAAACAATACCATTTTGACACAAATCTGCCCGTTAAACCAAGTGATTGATTCTTTTGCTTGGTAGTTACCGATCGGTTTGTATACTCGGTTATATCAAAAAATGTGAAAAATACTAATTTGTATTCTAAGATTCTCCCGCACCTATTATAATTACTCGATTTCATTTTTAACAACCATTGCAAAATCTTTCATATAACCAAATTGAAAAACCCATCAGTAACTACCGAGCAAAATGGTCCACCACTTTGTTTAACGGGCATATTGGTGTAAACATGAACTTCTTTATGCCAGGTTGGATGGTTTACTTTACTAAAGTGTGAAATTAGATCATCTTTAGTAGGAGAAAATAGATGTTACTGGCATAAAGTTTTGGTAAGAAAATGAAAGCTTATTGCTGTTATGGGTAAGGAAATCTTATTACCTTGCTGTAACTGTTACCATCTTTTTTATACAATTCTATTGTTTATTTATGCCATCTAACATTCGCTATCGCATGAAAGACAAGTTATTTTCTTGGTTCAGTCATTCTCATTCATATCAGCTGTACCTCTTGTTGCAATACATAGAAAGACCATTTAATGGTTCAGTTTATTTTAAAATTATTATCACCTATTTCCAATTCCACCTTTAATAATATGCTTTCCATTTCTACATATCCTTTTTTTAATTATTTTACAAGTAATCATTTGCTAATTTTCATCAATTTATGTCTCTTTCATTATACATGTCCATATAAATATAAGGTTTCTTTTTTTTTTATTACACATTTTTTTTTGTTTTTTTGGCTTTAAGGATATTTAATATGTGTGTTGAAACTGATTGGATATTTTAGTCAATTTATATGTAAAAGTTGTTATGTATTGATGCTTATTATTTTTATTTTTTAAAGAATGTTTTGTTTATGTGTACTTTAGATTATTGTATATCTTACTCGATCTTAGTGTATTGTATGTTCCCAAAATTTAATCCATTTTTATTAGGCAAAATTTTTTAGACTTCTCTCATTATTAAATACATTTGAATTTGAACTATGGTATTTGGTATATGTTTTGACGAGGACCCTTACATATGCCGTGTATATTTATTTGGTAATTTTAATATTTGCAGTTATATGACAAAAAAATATTTATTTAAAATTCAGTTTAAACTTACTTTAGAATGGATTTTCTTTCCTGTAATCCTATTTACATATTTAGAGGAATTTTTTCATTTATGATAATAATAATCCGTTTACCATCATTTAAAATTTAAGGACCCAATTGTATATTTTTTAATGGGCAACGTAAAACGATGGCTGTAAATATTCTACACTTATTTATTCACAATTTAGAAGCCAACATAGGGGTTCTAAAATCCCACTTCATAAGTATAACAATGGGGAAACAGAGGTATTCTCATCTCAATAGATTATTGTCCACACATCCCATCTCCACATAACTCTGATTTACTAGATCGCACGTGGCCACTATCCATCAGAACCTCAGTTATTTTTTACGCTGTCTGTTTAGATAGACAGAAAATGCAAAAATTGATCTATTTTCTTTCAATGTTTTGTCCTTATGACGTATCTTATGTGTTGGTTTATCAAATCTGATGACACGCAGTCGGAGACAATTCCAATTACATGATCTCTTTAGATAAGTATAAACAATCATCAGTCATACCTTTGTTTTCGATGTGCTGTTAGCCAACAACATCTGTTATTTTTCCTTACTTAAGATATTTACAGTGGATTTCGAATTTCCCAATTTTACACGTAATAATTTTTTACCTTATATATTTACTGTTATTGTTGATCAATTTCTTAACAAGACAATCTGTACACGTTTGATCCGGTAAGTTTACCTAATTGTTATGAAGAGTCGTTCTTCATTTTGTTTCATTTTCTTAATTTACCTGTATGCCTCTTGACTTTTTTTACAAATTTTTATGTTGCAGTTAAATAAACATGTCTACACAGCTTACTCCGATTATGGAAATCAATCAGGCAACTCACAACCGGTGGACAGCCCTTGTACAAATCTTAGAATGTCAGCACGTTTTGCAAACTAAAAAAGGGTCTTCTTACAAACGACTGATGTTAACAGATTCTGAAGGCTTAAAGTTCACAGCAATTATTTTCAGTGAGAATTTAAACTACTATGCAAGAACATTCACACAATACAGGAGGTATCACATCTCAAATGCGTTTCTCATCCCATGTGATCCAAGATATGCACTTAGCTTGTATGGATTTTCATGGGTGCTCAATAAGCGAACGCTTGTACAAGAACATCCTGATCGCAATCCGGTGAATTTACCTTGTACTTTTGAATTCACACCATTTACGAGGTTCCATGAACATGCTGAATCAGAACATTTTCAAAGTAAAATACTTTTTCTATTTACATAACAGTTATTTTTTGTTTATTTATTTATTTTTCTTAATATTAACTATGTTTATATATATATATATATATATATATATATATATATATATATATATATATATATAAACATATATATTTGTATTATGTAGATGTCAGAGGCATCGTTGTACGATGTTTGCCCAGTTATGAACAAGGTTCTGACCTTGTCAGTCGGAGAGATGTCGTTATTATCAACGAAGAGTATAAAATTCTTTATCACACAATAATCTATTACCTATTAGTTACATACATTACATTGATTACATTACAATTTCCTTTTATAGAAAACTGCCTTTGGTGATCACTCTGTGGAACCAATTCGATGAACATGAGGGTAATATGTTGCAGTCAATGCAAGGCCCACCCCTTTTGTTCTTTGGACTGAGGCTGAAAGTCACGACTTTTAACTGTAATTTATTTACCTTTTTACCGAATAATATATATATATATATATATATATATATATATATATATATATATATATATATATTATAACAATAAAACTTCATTTATTGTACTGATTACAAAAAATGGAAACAGCCATCTCTTTAACAACGAAGCCAAATTCAGGTTTGCTCATCAATCCACCGGTTAGGGACGACTTGCAATTACGCACCTCGTATTACTTATGTTGTTCATACCGTATTTTTTTCTTAAAATTATTAAATAACTTCTATTTTTATTTATCTTGATTTATACACTGATACATCTATCTGACAAAATTAGGTACAATAACAACCGCAAGGAAATAAATGACTTGCTATCAGTCACAAACTACCGAAGAAATGATTTCCTTCTACCATATCCAGCTGAAACAAACATATCTTCTATTGTTTCTGCAACTTCACATTTCGACACTGTAAGCTATTTTTTTACTTTAAAAAAAAATCATTTTTACAATTATGTTTCATATGTAATTTGTTTCATCTACATTTACATCACATATAAAATAGATGAAAACTGCTTGGGTGAAAGGCACCCTGAGTCTTCCTGAACAAGAACGTAACTTATCATACACTGCTTGTGCCAATTGCTTCAAGTCTATAGAAGCCGACACAACTTGGATTGTTACCTGTCCTTCTTGTCACATCGAGTCAGAAATTCAACAGATGTAAGCATGAATATTCTTTTACTCCCTTCTTGAAATACTTTTTTCTCACCTATGAAATTTCCTTTAGGTCAAGGTTAACTGTTTTGATTGCCGATGAAAGTGGAGTGATGAAAGCAAATTTACACACACCTGAACTTGAAAAGTTTATACATTTCTCTCCAAAAGATGTGCAAATCAGTGAAGAAACGGTAAACACACATTTTATCTAACCTTGTAAAAACATGTTAGTTTATAATTATATAAATCTTTTTTTAACATTTGTTAATGTGTAACAGAGTCAAAGTCTATGCAATTCCATTGCCACTGCAATCAAGTCGGTTTATATTGTTGCTTTCGTTCGTGCATACGAAGTGCATTTTCAAGGAACAACAGACATCAAAGTGAATATTGTTAAAGCTTACAAAGTAAATGATCGTGCTGCTGTATCAAATGAGTCTGATAACATGGTCCATAGATCAAACATCGGTGAAGGCACATCAACAACCAAGAATGTGTCTTCTCTTGCAGCCACAGTTCCTTTGCCATCGGCTGGTGAAATTGAAAAACCTCTTGAAGTTAAGAATTCAAAGCAAGTTCCTGTTATATACTTGCTTCCAAAGAATAAGCCAGAACCAATTCTAATGACAAAGCATCTTGTTCCAGAACTTCCAACTTCCAGCTCCTCTCCAATTGAACAAAAAGTTTCTGAATCGGGCCCACCTTTAGCACTTCCTATGAAAGAAGATGTTCTTCGGGCAAGCAATCCAAGACCTTCCAAAAAAACAAAGTAACTGTGGTTTGTGGTTTGTTAAAGATGGTAACTATCTTCTACATATCTTTTGCGAATAGAATATAGAGGGTCTATTCGATATGTAAATAGTATCTTTTGCGAATAGAATATAGAGGGTCTATTCGATATGTAAATAGTATCTTTTGCGAATAGAATATAGAGGATCTATTCGATATGTAAATAGTATCTTTTGCGAATAGAATATAGAGGTCTATTCGGTATGTAAATAGCAGCTAACTGCAGTTGACAACCATCTTTGTATGGTTTCTTTTGGCGTATAGATCATTAAGATATATTGTATATACACTTTCAAGTTTTTCATATAAGATCTATTGTATATACACTTTCAAGTTTTTATATGAAAAATGGACCTACAATCTACTTTTATTATGTTGGCATGTACTGGGTTCACAAAGATAATATACCATAAAGATAATATACCACAATATTGTTGAATACTTTATAACCATCTTTCTTTGTAACACAATCTTCACAAAAATGTCAACTCTCATCTAACCTTCGTTCCATTATCTACAATTTCATTTGAATTCTTATATTATGATAAAAAAATTCACAAAGATAATATACCACCTAGATAATATACCACAATATTGTCGAATGAAACAAATAAGAGATTGCAAACCTAATCATATTTGAGGTCAAATTTCAAAAACTCTTAGACTACGACTTTCCACCATATCTTCATCACTTCACTTCTCCTTAAAAGCAATAACTCCTTAAAAGCAATAACCTAAGCAATAACCCACATGAATGAAAATTAAATTAATAAATAAAGAATAAAATCAAAGATCCATTTAACAAATTTATAGATAAAACTCACTTTGGTTGTCCACTTGACAAATATATCATTTTGGTAGTCCATTTGAAAAAGATACAATAGGATTATTAGATTATATTAAAATTGTTAATATTATTCATAACCATATCCCTTATGAGCATGCTCAAAAGTATTGGAGTTGCTACAGGCCAAAAAAATTTCAAATCAGAGTCCATGCCAATGCCAATTCCATTGTCATTGCCAACACCACACAAACTCATGTAACTCCACTGCAGGTGCATACGACAACATGCTTTGTGATTTTGTATTTCCAATGTACTTAAATTACATCTTTTCTCTCTTTAAAACACTATACTTTTAAAGTACAATGCTATATTGCCAATATTTCCAGCAAGAGTATGCTTTGTGATTTTGTATTTCTATATGCGAAAAATACCAATGTACTTAAATTTTATATTTTCTTTCCTTACAATTTAAAGTACACCATTGTACTTTTAAAGTACAATGCTATATTGCCCATATTTCCAACAAGAGTATAAGTATATTACACATTCTCTTAACACAATGGAATGGAATGTATAAGTTTCGGTAAACACACTATATTTTACACTTTTACCATTTGTAAAAGAATAAGCATTCAACTTAAACTTCTTACAATGACTACACACTTATATAGATATTATCTTTATACATTGTACTATTTAAGTTTACCATTTCGCTTAACTGTGATGACTCTCGCTCCGGAATCATCACGGCCCTCATCATGTTCCTAGTATATATATATATATATATATATATATATATATATATATATATATATATATATATATATATATTAAAGATCTTGGTAAGGGAATTTGCTTAATTTAAATAAATGGTCCCTGAATTGGCTTAATTTACATAAATGGTCCCTTTATTTTGTTGAACTTGATATTTTTTTGTCTATTTTTGTTATTGATATATATTAAAGATTTTTGTAAGGGGACATAATTTAAATAAATGGTCCCTAAATTTTGTTGAACTCAACACTTTTGGTAGAGTTTTGTTTAAAAAAAATGTTTTGGGCGAAGCTTGACATCAACTACTAGTTAGACTTAATGTTTATATATTACAAAAAACATAAGTGATTAATATTCGTTTAAAATTGAGGGGAATAAAATGGAAGGAAATAAAAGAAATTTGAGGGTGACTTTCCTTCTCGATCATCTCAATTTTATGGAATAGATTTTGAAGGGAAAAAAGATTTTAATTTCCTTCTTCTGCTTAAATGAAACTCGATAAAATGTTTTATTGTATTTTCTTTCCTTCGGACTTTTTAAAAAAACTTAAGAACAGATTTTCTCTCATTTCCTTCAATTTTCTTCCTTAAAAAACTTGATAACATAGTGTATATGTGTACAAGAAAAAAAAGTTTAATGGTCATATGTGTCCATCCAAAAAGGAAAAAAAAAAAATCTTAATGTAACATCCCAAAAATAATAGTAAATTTTTCATTTTTAAATCGTTAAATCCATACAAACATTTCTTGCAAAACCAATCAGAGTAATATGTATCATTCAAATATCAAAGTAAAACAATAATAATCAGTGCGAAAAAAGTCATTAGGGGATAATGTGTTATCAAATCGGGTCCTTCTCTTTGAAACCGGAAGTACCTAAAAAATAATTAAACTGCAAACCATAAGCACATAAAGTTTATCGAGTTCCCCAAAATACCACATACTATATACATCAACGGGCACAGCCCACCATAACGGGCCCAACTCAACATACAAACAGGCCCAATCAAACATATCAATAGGCCCAGCCCAACATACCAATATGACCAGTCCAACATGTAAATAGGCCCAATCCAATATGTATACCAATAGGCCCAACCCAATCATGAAAATGGGCCTAGTCCAACATGCATTCTAATGGGCCCAGCCCAAAACACAATGCAAGAGTCACAGAGACCACTAAAGGTGTTCACGGTTCCTTTTGAAACCGTGAAACCGGTCAAACCGGGCATTGGTTTAGTTTCGCAGTTTGTATTTTTCTTTATAGTTTGGCTTGTGACTTCAAACTTTTGAAACCGTAATGAACGGTTTAGCTTACGGTTTCAAAAGTTTCAAGTTGTATAAAACCGAACCGGACTATAGGATATATATATATAATATTGAATTTGAATTCATTAGTATTATGTTAGATTTTGTTTACAGGGAAATCTATATTCATTTGTTTTGTTGTTGGTTGTTAAGTTTCATAGCAATTATCTCAACTTTTGATCAATGTTTATTTGTGATCAAGCAAGCTTCTTTCCTTATTTTTTCCAAAGTTTTCCATCTTATTCTGCTAAGTATTTTATTAATAAGATTTTAGAAATCAAGTGTTTTTTTTGACAAAATCAGTTTAATGGGTTCAACTCAAATGGGCCTAAAAAGCTCAAACCGTGAAACCAAATCGTTAGTAACGGTTCGGTTTGGTTAGGTTTTTAATTATCAATGGTTAGGCTTCAGTTTTCAATTGACAAAAACCATTACTAGCTATTTGGCTTCGGGTTGACATAAAAACCGAAAAAAAAACAAACTGTAAACACCCTTATCCTACACAATACAATGAGAAGACTCACTTGACAGAAGATTATTTAGGATAAATAATCTTAATCGAAGTTATAGTATATGTGATAATAATTCCATACATATAAAGAACACTCAAAGCCGACTTCGTGAGAGGAAGTTATGATTTTTCTAATATTTCAGCGTAACAGTATACGGCTCAGAAAGTGAATTGGAATCGCTTAATTTTTAGGAAAAACAATCTAAACGAGAGTTGAAGATCTCGCTAATACCTATCCGTCGATACATAGACAATCGAGAACGGATGTCATATAAGAGAGTTATGAATTTTTAATAGGTTTTAACAGTCTAAGTCTATTAAAAATATAACTTAAAAAATAAAGTCAAAACTACCCGACAGAGTCTAAATGAAAGCTATAGATCCCGTCGATAGCTACGCATGGATATAAAACACATCGAGAACAGATCTCGTTTGAAGAAGATATGAACTTTCTAGGGAACATAAATTATTCCCGTGTGAAACGTCAGAGTACGACTGTCATCCACCTAGAATGCGACACATAACACCACGTAGAAAGCGACATGTCACCCTTTACCGACCAGATGTGCGGCGCACACCCAATCTATGCACGACGCGCAGACGAAATACCCTTATAAATAGAAGTCAATTTTTATTTCAATCCCACACCATTTCTATATGTTCCTCTCTCAATTTCTCTAGATTTTGGTCGAGAGTTAACTTAAGTTTTTATTTGGCGAAGCCCTGTGGTTTTTGATAACCAACGATTAAGAGCTCATGAGTCAACGTTTTGTCCCCTTAATTCCCAGTTTTCATTAGTGTGCTCTGTAAGTTAAGCTATACTTATTATTTAAGTGTAACTTTTAATTAAAGTCATAGTCGTTATTATGATCCTATAATTAAAATTATCAGTAATTACAAGTCATTATATTGATTGATCTACTTACAGGGATGAAATCTAGGTTGCATTTATGTAACATCCCGGAATTTGCAAGGTATTTTCGAATCCTCCCTTTTATTATTAATTGTCAGTTTTCGCCCTTAGGGTTGGAAGGATATAGCCATGAGTTTCCCTAATGGCTAACATTGTAATTTTGGACCAAGAAATAGTATGTTGCCCGTACATAAGCGTATGCTAAGCGTACTAGGCGCGCCCTAGTACGCTGGGCGTACTCATGAAAGATGGAAACCCTAATATTTAGGGTTTTGGTGCTATATAAATGTCTTTATGAGTTCATAACCCTCTATCATTTCATCCTCCATAGCCTTGAGTCATTTTCCCCAAACCCTAACCCCTCTCTTGAGTGTGTGAGCTAAAAGTGTGTGTTTTGAGTAGTTGAAGAATAAGGTATTGCATCAAGGAGTTAGAGAAGTGAGTCAAGATTGTAGATCTGAGGATATTTTGTGCTTTAAAAGCTCCAGGAGGTAAAAAGCTCATGCCTTTATGTTTTATGACATCCCCAATTTCACGGCCAGAAAAGACCGATTTGTTTATGTTTTGTTTTATAAAATTAGAGTAATCTTTTAAAGAAAACAGATGCGGAATTTTTTCCCAAAACAAAATATGATAAGAATTTATCAAAGCATTTCTTTAAAGAAATGTATTTTCATTAAATAGCAAAATCT